AAAAAAAAAAAAAAAACCTTCTCTTGTATTTTGCCGTTTTGGGTTTTCTTCTTGTCTGCAAAATATATAGTTTTCTATTTTCAGCTGCACAAGCAAAGATTCAATGTCTGTATTATTATGTTCGTCTTTGGGATTCGGTTTTAGATTTTTGTCGTTTTCCTTATCCGATCGTGTGCATGTTTTGCCAGGAGCGACTCGGTCAATTGTAGTGGCAGCCGAGCACTATCTGAGAGGATACAAACAAATTACCGTGCAAAAGTCGGCATTTTTTCCCGCATTTTGTATTTACGGAATGTACTCTATCTCAAGTACTGTGTTATTTTATTTTAGTTTATGCTGGAGATGTAAACTGAGTAGGTCAATTGTTGTATGTTTGTCCCTTTAAACCTTTTGTTTTTCTGTCTGTATGGTTTATTAGTGCTTCAATGGGTTTCCTTCTCAGGCGTAGGTTGCGATTCAAAACAGTAAGATAATATCATATATGAGAGATGTAAATAATCTCGTGTAGATTAGTATATGCCCATCTTTAACTTATTTATCTTCCAATTGAAGATCTGGTTTGCTTCATTTTGTTCCCTTAAGTGCAGGTTAACTTATTTATGATTTTATTGTTCGTAGTTTGTGGGTACGGCTCTGAATTTAGATTAATTACTACTGTCAGCCAATCAACAATTTCAAATAAAATAAAATAAATAAATCTTTGATTAAATAGTATTACGAGTTGCTAGACAGACAATAAATTTATACTTTTTAAATAAATAAATATATATATATATATGTATATAAAACTTGGAAGTAGAGAATTTAAATTTAAAAGAAGAAATAAAAATCAAAGGATTTCACATATCTCAATTTTATATAAAAATTAATATCAAAGGAATTCAAATCTCAGTCTATAAAAATATAAGTGTTTCATATCGTTAATACTGGTTTTAATTTTTTATTTAAATATATATTATAGATATATTGTCTCTGTGGGAAGAAGAAAAAAAAAAGAAAAAAAAAAGAGAGAGAGAAAGGCAAAACCACAAACAGAGCAATGGAATTTGACCACTAATTTATTCTTCTTAATTGTAAGACTAAACGTCGCTTTGGCCGAGTGGTTAAGGCGTGTGCCTGCTAAGTACATGGGGTTTCCCCGCGAGAGTTCGAATCTCTCAGGCGACGAAATTAATTTTTTTCCCCATTTTTTCCAACATTTTAATTTCCAAAAAACTCGGCGACGAAATTATACATATTTTTCCCAGTTAAGTCAACAAGATTTATTCGCTAGAGGGGCCCTCAAGAGAACAAGTTCTTACCATTTAGTTGTTCCTTTCGAGCAATTTTAACCATTAAAGTTTTACCAATTAGCTGTTCTTTCGAGCAATATATTATAAGAATGCACAAAATATTGTCTGTAAAGTTTTTGTAGCTTTGGGGTCATAATAATGATGTTGATATTCAATAAAATAGTTAAAAAAAATAATCACTCTTGAGTAGGTGATAATTTCATATTAAGCTAAAAGCTTATGTGAGAAGAAATTATTTGGACAAAATTGCAAGAACCACACGAAAGTAGATACGAAACTCTGTTTCAGTGATAAAAAAAGCAAAAAAACATTTTTACATATACCTTGAAATGTGGGGGTGTTCAGTCCAAGGTAGAAATGCCTAATTAGTGACATAAAAAGTTTGTTGATATAATTTTAACGAATGATTTCAAATTCATTGAATGACAAAATGTGTATTAAGGTTCTTCCGACTCTTTGTGATTGTAAGTCTTATGTAGAAAATATGATGATCTTGGAATATAATCATGATGTGTTCATGAATACCAAGAAGATAAACTTTGACATATAAAGTTTGTGAAATTCCGATGTAATTTTGGAGATTAAGTTTCTAATAGATCGAAAATGATTGTTTGGCACAATCTCATCATGTCAAATATATGATGAAGAAGTTCGATGTGTTCGATAAAACCTCAAGCTAAAGTGTATGTAAAATTGACTCTACACTTAGCTAAGAATTGAGAATAATTAGTTTCTCAGAACAAAAGTATGCTGAATAATTGGGGGCTTGAGGTACTTGTCGGATAGTACTCGCCCCAATGTTGTATTTTAGCGAGTAAAATAAGATGTTCACGAGCAACTCGAGTGATGAAATTTTGATCACGCTGAATAGAGAATAAACACGAAAAACTCTAAGACAAAAAGTAACTACGTATTCACTTACGGTGGGTAGACCGTAGAGTTATGTCATGAAAATAATCTAAGTACAAAGCTTGATCCACAACAGAGTCTGGGTTTATAAATTTGGACAAAGGGCGTGGATAAAACTAATGACTTAGAATTTTCTAAAAGATGTTCCTTGGTGGAATAAATTGTGCTTATCATGATTATTATTTGTGATAATCAATGACTAAATGGAAGCACAAAGTAGTGTGTATAATAGTAAGTCTAGACATAGACGTCAGAGACTTAATTTCACGACAAATTATCTCGTGTGGGGATTATATCGATTGACTATGTGAAGTCAAAGATAAACCCAACGGATCCAATTATAATAAGCATGAAACAAGGTAAATTGTGCAAACTGGTTAATAAAAGTCCACAACATACGAACGGTCTTAGCGGTAAGCCAACCATGAGAACCGGAGATCCCAAACCCTTGGTTCAATGGGAAAATTAAGTTTTGACAGTTCAGTGAAACACTTGAAAAATTTATGCTCATTTCTAGAACCGTCAAGTGTTAAAATTTGCGTAAGTGGTGAGGTTAAGTCGAGGACACTTAATGATTCTTATACCTAAGGGTGAAGTAAGGCAGAATACTCTTTATAGGAGAATCATCATTGTAAGTGAGAAGTAAATAGGCCCTTCAATCGAACACTTACTAATCCGAGATATGATCCAAGGCCGAAATGGACACAACGTGAGAACAATAAGTTATTAGAGCTGTTGTTGTGTGAGTACTATTGTCTTGGTGCACACAAACAGCCGGTAAGTTTAAAGCATCGTGCTACTAACCGACTAGTGTATCCGATAGTATTTCACTAAGGAAGATTCAAAGCCACAAGCTATCTATCCTAAAGCAATGATGGTTCGTCGGGACTCTCAAGTATTGCATACATGCATTAATTTCATTCATGTGGGGAATTGTAAGAAAAATTGGTTTTGTACTGATTTTCGGTTCCATTTTCTGTAATAGAAAGATTTAGAAAATTCTCAAAACCATTTTAAGGTGAATGAAAAATTAATTCTAAGTTGTATATGTTGAAAATGTAACGTTGAAGCAATGAGTTTAAGTAACTCATATTATTGGATTTGTAAATATTCTGTCTTTGACGAATGTTAGGATAATCCAAATGAGACTTGATCATGCAGATTGCATGATATAACACTAGAAGGGCCCGTTGGGACGAGTAAGAAAAAACAGAACTCGATTCTGAGTACGTATGAGCATGTATGAGCCTGCGGCGCACGGGCGCGCAGCTGGCTGCGGAAACCGAAAGGCCACAACCTTTGGTGACTATAAGGTGTCCTCTAGCCTTTAGATTCTCGTTCGGATACGTCCCAAAATGTGTCTTTGACACTTAAACCTCTTGGAGGTGTTATCCTACATCTATAAATAACCACATGAAATCATACATAACTTAAAAATTAGAAAGCTCTTGCATTACTTTTCAAAGACATATATCATATTGTGTTCTTTGATTTTTTTCACTGAGTCTTGAGAGTTCCAAACAATAGCAGTGTGTGCCGAAGGCTTGTTAATTTGAAGTACAGATATATATAAGTCGAAAGTCGTTGTATCTTAGAGACGTTTGCCGTTAACCGTGAATATTTTACGGTGCAATTTCGTGTTAAAGAGAATGTAATTATTACGTGAATCGACTTTGATTTTTGTTTCGTTTTCTTCATTCTCCTTAAGCCGTCTTTTTTATATTCACAAACCATACAAACTACATCTATCATCTCATTCATTGTAGCCCCCAACATTTCCTGCAGAAAACGTAGTTGTCTAAAATCATAGAATCCTGCAACATATTTATGAATAGAGTTTTATGATGCATTCCGCTATGGTTTAGGAGTTAGAATTATATAATTTACACATGACTAACATCCATCCATTATTTCATTCATCACATCACCTTTAAAATCAACTTTGCAACAAAAAAAAATATGGTAAACCTTTTGATAACTCAATCTTGCAGACAACTTTTGCAACAAAAGAATATAATAAAGTAAACTAACTCAATCTTACGGTCTACTAATTCTTATATTTGATAATCCTTCAATGTTCAATGAAACATCATACAAATTCAGAGAACACAACTGTAATCCAACATTTGCCAAAGCTACGGAAAATCGCAAGACTCCGTTTGCTGCTAAAAGAGACCGACATTCAAAAGATACTAAACTATTATTTAGTTATCATTAAATCAGACACCGCATCAAATGATCAAACACAAACATACAAAAGATTACAACTAACCCGTAATTTTTGAGTCATCGTCTTTTCTCTTGGGGCACAATGACGATATATGTCCTCGCTCCCCGCACTCATAACACGTCCGCCTCCGTATTTTTGAACTAACAGCATTTGTTGCCTCGCTGCCTGCAGTAACTTTTGAACTAACAGCATTTGCTGCCTCACTGCTTGCAGTAACTTTTGCACTAGCAGCATTTGTAGCCTGACTGTTTGCAGTAACTTTTGCACTAACAGCATTTGTAGCCTCACTGTTTGCAGTAACTTTTGCACTAACAGCATTTGTAGCCTTATTACCTGCAGTAATTTGAACTTCATTAACCACACTAAAGTTACCAGTATGAACTTTATTGTCTTTCAACCCTGATTTAAAATTGGTCGAGACTCCCTTATTAGGCACAGCATTACTTATTCTAACAGGTCGCCTGCACACTATTTTCTGATCCAATTTCAAAGCCGTGCTGAGAGAGAGGCTATCACCAAAGTCCACATGTGCATACCCTTTGACTCTCCCGTCTCTTTAAAATCAACTTTACAACAAAAAATACGGTAAACCACTTGGTAACTCAATCTTACAGTCAACTTTTGCAACAAAAGAATATCTATTACTATATAATAGATATTAAAATTCCCGCTTAAAATTTTCAAAGTTACTATTCTTAGTATTTTATTTTTTTTGGAAAATAGCGGCGGAATGAAAATTTGAATTCAAATTTAAAAAAAAATATAAAATAAATTGTTGTTTGAGAAAGATATTGTGTAAACCTTAATTGTTAAGATTCGCATTAAAATTTGTAATTTGGATATGAGATGAAAAACAGATGTGTACAAAAAAATAGGCACCAAGAATCCACATTTATGATATTCTTTCTAAACTTTAAAAGATTTTGTAGTTAGTTAGATCTGGACAAAAAAATCATCAATTAAGTTAAACGATTCGACATATAAAAATTAATTTTTGAAATTAACATTCTTTATTAAATAAATACAAATTTTAGTTGTGACCATAAAATATGAGATGTGTAGATAGATAAATATGGATAAAAAAATATTTAACAATTAAGTTGACATGACTTTTCGGAAAGAGATTGACCAGATTTATCTAAATTTAGACGTCGTACATGACTGATCGGATTTTTGGGAAGCAAGATTTTCAAGTTTTTTTTCTCATTATTGGCCTGATTTACCCAGATTTACTTACCCGTAGCATTTAAGACTATATATTGTTTTTTTTTTTAAAAAAAAAGCATGACGATTCATATAATTAATTTTATATCATGTGTTGGATGTTATTTGTTTGGTTGAGGACACTCATTATATTCAAATAAATATTATTTAATTTTTCATATTTTTTAATTTTGTTTCTTGCAATAATGAAATGTTAAATATAAATAACTATGTTCAAAACAAATGCTTCAAAAAAAATTAAGTAATAAACCGTCCGTGCATCGCACGAGAAGCACACTAGTAGTAAAGTAAACCACTCGGTAACTCAATCTTACGGTCTACTAATTCTTACATTTGATAATCCTTCAATGTTCAATGAAACATCATACAAATTCAGACACTGTAGTACGACATTTGCCAACGCAAAAGAAATCACAAGACTCCGTTTGCTGCTAAAAGAGAATACCATTCAAAAGTTGCTTAATAGACTATTATTTAGTTATCATTAAATCAGACACCGCATCAAAATCGATCACGAACATACAAAAAATTACAACTAACCTGTAATTTTTGAGTCATCGTCTTTTCTCATAGGGCACAATGAAGATATATGTCCTCGCTCCCCGCACTCGTAACAAGTCCGCCTCCGTATTTTCGAACTAACAGCATTTGTTGCCTCGCTGTCTGCAGTAACTTTTGTACTAACAGCATTTGTTGCCTCACTACCCGCAGTAATTTTTGCACTAACTGCAGTTATTGCCTCACTGTTTGCAGTAACTTTTGCACTAACAGCATTTGTAGCCTCATTAACAGCAGTAATTTGAACTTCATTAACCACACTAAAGTTACCAGTACGAACTTTATTGTCTTTCAGCCCCGATTTTAAATTGGTCGAGACTCCCTTCTTGGGCACAGCACAACATATTCTAACAGGCCTCCCGCACACGATTTTCTGATCCAATTTCAAAGCCGTGCCGAGAGAGAGGCTATCACCAAAGTCCACATGTGCATAACCTTTGAACTCTCCCGTCTCTTTATCCTCACCAAATCGAACAGATTCAATTGTGCAGTCCGAAAAAAGATTCCTCAAATCCTCCTCTGTCACATCCCACGACAAATTACCAACATAGATCCTATTGTAGCCCTCCATGACCGAAGGGGAAAAAGCGGGAGATTGGTTATTTTTTACTTTGGACGACTTGTATGGCTGAATTTTAAGGAATAGGCCACCCCTGGGGAAGTGCGGAAAATTTCAATTATGACAAAAAAAAGGAACTACTGAAAACCTTAATTAACGTAAAGCCGAGATTGGATTGAGATAAGAATTGAGAAGGTTATATATGTTTGTAAGAGTAAAATAAAACTTACATATCTGAACCATCAAGTGCTAATGCTCTTTTAGCTGCTGCCTCAGTCTGCAATGAAGTCAAGAAAAAAATTTAATATATAGTGACATGGCTATTTGATGCAATAAAAGTCTTTTGGGATGCATGTCAAGAAAAAATTAATATATAATGACATGGTGATTTGATGCAGACATAGTCTTCTGTGATGCATGTCTTTTGGTCTAAAACGTAGTCATTTCATGTCTAATCGTCTCGTTCTTCTAAAGGAACATTAATCATCATCTCAGAGAGGTTTGCAAAGATCTTTCGGAAAAAAGTCAAGAACTAGCGATTTGAAGGAGGAAAGAAACAAGGGTATACGGAATTGCCAGTCACGCCATATAGAATTATGGGTCGATGGATATTCTGGCCAGTCAGGTCCAAAACATTGCAGGTCATAAGATAATGTTTCGGCACAATGTACCATGAAAAATTTAACAGTTAAAAGATATAGGTGTATGCTATAAGGAATTACCAATTAACCATAGAGAATTATGAGTGGATTGGATATTCTGGCAAGTCCGTTCAATGGGATTTTCTGTTTGTCGAGGGACCGAACTGAAAATTATAATTCTTATTTATTTGGTTATGGCCCCAAACAACGAAAATTGCAGGTCATATATAATGTTTTGGCACAGTTTACCATGAAAAATTTTAATAGTTGATCTCAAGTTTATAAGATTGTATTTATCTGCAGTCATCTTTTTTTTCTCTCTATCAACCTTAGGCACTCTACATCTAATTGGCTGTATAAAAAAGGTCTGTGCATTAGCAAGTGTTATCTTCAATGTCAGAGATCAAAATATCACTGCGAAATCTTTTAAAATGATAACATAAATAAATGCTAGATTAAGTAATGATGCAGTGAACATGGTTACAGTAATCTGGGAAAATTATAGAAAATAGAACCTAATCTTCATCATATTATGCACATATCATATATGTCAAAAGCTAAATTAGATATCCAAAAGCACGAATTAGGATATCACTCCAATTAGGGCTGCAAATGAAACAAGCAGCCCGCAAGTGCTCAAGTCAGAGCTTGGCTCAAGCTCAAGTTTCACAGAATGTAAATAACATATATTTCAATAGCCAAAGTAGACATCAAAAAGCAAGAATTAGTATATCACTCAAATTAGGGCTGCAAACAAATCGAGCGGCTCGTGAGCACTCGAGTCAAAGCTTTGGCTCAAGCTCTAACTTGATCCTGTATGTTACTAGCACGGATGTTGGACAAGCCGCAAAGTATAAGTGTAATGTATCGATTACATTAATCTGAAGCAGGCAGGAAATAGTTAAAGCCAAACTCGAGAAAAAATATTATTTGTAAAGTTTTTTTTTCTTATAAAAAATGAGCTAAATCCGAGCTGATGAAATTTGAACCACTCATTAGCATTTGTATACTGTTGAAATACCGAGCTAATTAAAGCCAAACTCGAGAAAAAATATTATTTGTAAAGATTTTTTTTATAAAAAATGAGCTAATCTGAGCTGATGAGATTTGAGCCAATCACCAGCATATGTAGACTGTTGCTGCATCGAGCCTAGCTTGATAAGGCGAATGCTCGACTCTGCTCTACTCGTTGCAGCCCTAATCCAATTCAAACCAGTTAAACAACCTACCTTGAAAGTGATTATTGCAATTCCTCTGAACTTTCCAGTGTCTGGGAAAGTCATACAATCAACACATGTAATGGTACCACAACCTTCAAAGTAACTCCTGATATCATCTTCGGTGGAGTAGTATGGAATGCCTCCGACATATACTTTGTCAGACACTTCTGCAGCTCTGCCGTTTTTCAAAAAGACAAAAGAAGGCAAAATGATAACATGGAACTATATTATTTACTTTAAAAACAAATCTAGACAACCTCGAGAAGTTCCATAAAACTTACTATAGTTACATCTATAGGATTTGTTTTCATGAATCCTTAAGTTTTCACAAGACGGAAGCCTCCATCACATTGGTGAACCGTACTAGGTCTTACGAAAAGTACACTTGCATCTCTAGGTTTCTCAACCCAAGTACAAGAAGTTTGAGTATTACAGTCTCTTTTGAGTATAATTTTCTAGTCTGAAATATGTGAGCCTTGACAAAAGAACAGCATAACAGTCCTGTGAAAGTAAAATCTGAAATGCAATACCATGTGCATAAATTTTGTCCAGACTCCCTACTCCCATTTAAAAAAAAAAAAGAAAATGTAATAAACATACATTACGAAATCAGTGTCTCAACATATGCAAATTATCCAACTTGTAAAATAGGTAAGTAAAATTTGGAAAAAGACGGCAACAATAATGTTGACTTGTTGAGTAGCAAGGAAGTCCTCACAAAGCATAATTTTCTATTAATACAAAAAATTTAATATTTTTCAAGAATCACATACCTTTTAGTGTCCTTGTTCGTCTCGGCTGCAAGCTGCTCTGCATTAGCTTCACTTCCACTGTTGTCAACCCCTTTCTCATCGACTTTCTCATTCCCATCCTTCTTCTTAGCCTTCTTCTTCTTTTTATTCTTCTTCTTTTTCTTTGCCTGCTTCGGATTTTTCTCCTTCACATCCTCTGATGCCTCAGTTTCCTGTCTCTTTCGCTTCTTTTTCTTCTTTACCTCCTCAACATCTAACTTTGACCCGTGCGGTTCATTTGCATCTGCACCATTCCCCATTCTTCCATTTTCAATAACATCTGGTTTCTGTACTTGCACCCTTTGTCTTCGTTTTTCTCTTTTAGATAATATAGGCGTGTGGGCCTCTTGATTTAAAATAGTCCTCAGAGAATTAGGAATGTTAGAATTCAAATCTTCGGATTTCCTTGTCGTATTATTCTCAGATTCGGTGGCGACTAGACATTCTGCTTTCGCAGCTCTTAGCTTTTGCTTTAGCTTCTTGTTTGATAACACCATTCTTACGCTTTTTTCTTCTCTTTCTCCGGACAATTAAGCAGCTCTGGCACATGATATAGAGATTTGATGTTTCAGTTAAGAACAAATTCATCAATCTTCAAAGAAATGAAACTCCAAAGAAACAAAACAATTAATACATGTCACCCAATGATAAAAACACATATAATTTTTTTCATCAGTTTAAGAAATCGATACATCAGAAAGAGTCCGACGGCATTTTAGACTAAAGAAACAATTTTAAAAAGAAACAAAAAAATCTTTCCACAATGTAAAAGGTTGCTTTCTTGCCACAGTAGAAGTAGCAACAAGCTGAAAAATACATGCCCAATAAAAAAATTTAGGAGACCTGAAGTAACTGAAAGAAATTGGGCAGTTTGGAGGTGGAATTATACACAAACATTGTTGCCCAACACCAATCTGCAACTTAAGAAACTTACCAAACTCTAAAAGTTGGGAAAAAAATGTCTAAAATAGCAAGTTCAAGAGATTCAAACCACAATAATCTCCGTGTTAACTATAAGGAACACCGATCAACTGGCTTAGCTGTCCACATAGTTCTTCAAATGTTCCACAACATCAATCCAAGAACTTAAATAAAATTTCATCTAGAGCTCGCAAATGGCTGAATGCATCAGAAATAGAACAGCTAAGATGCTATCGAATATCGAAGGGTCTTTGTTCGACCAATTATTAAAAGGCATATACCGGAACACCGATTTTTTTTCATGAACATGATTAGCATATTTTGAGGCGTCAAAAAAGGACCAGAAGAAAGTGACATTGGACTTACCAGAAAGTTTGGGGAAACAGCCGGCCGGCGTGAACCTCCCGGCGGTGGAAGACGCTGAAACCCAGAATTTATTTACAGATGGAGAACCTCTCCGTCTTACTTCCTTCCTCTGTCACTTGCGGCTGCGGGTGGAAAAAGATGGGAGCAACTTTGATGCGGTGGCAATTTGCCCTTATTACGTCTCTAACCCAAATTAACTATAGGGGATGCATTCCTTTTATTTAAATGGAACCGAACAAGTCGAATTTGGGCATTTCGAGCTCGTGTTCGTTTATTCGTGTTTGTTCGTTTATTTTTCGAATATAAAATTTTGTGCGACTCTTTTCAAAGTAAGATGAAGTTCATGGTGGATTTCACACATGATCTCGACAATTTCAGAGTAATGTGCGACTCTTTATACAATAAGATATCTTTCGTTGGTAGAAGTATTCTCAAAAGCAAGAATATGTGCTAAGGCAACATCTTTCACAATCACACACCCATAAGTCGAATTTGGGTATGTCTCATCACCTGTGTGAATATTCCAAATTCAATATTTTTAAACAATTGCATCACAACATTTATAGGAAAAAAAAAAAAAACAATGTTTGCTTAAAGAACAAAATCACTCACTGTTTGCAAGGTTGAGAATAGTTTCACTTGTGTTGAGAGTAGGATGCAAGGGAGGACCAATCACCATAGGTGGGCATATAGTCACCAAATCAATACTTTTCTCTTTACAAACTTCCATGCAGCATCCTCTGCCACCGCCTTCGATAGCACGTATCATTTCTGAAACAAATTTCGCACTAGTTAATCTCAAATTTCAATTACCACCTTTTTTTCTCATATATTAGAAAAGGGGAATTAAAGAAAGTACAATTAATTACCTTGGCTTTGTGAACCATTCGGGATCAGACCACCTAGTCTCGTCAATAAGAGTGTCAGGGCCGCGAGGTGTACCATTGTACGTGATTGAAGTTGTTGGATAATGTCAGCACGACTCTCTTAACTGATGGTGCTTTGGCCACTGACCGTAGAGCATTCAGTGTTTGTTTCAATGTCGGATCAATTAGCTCCCACTGACAAGAAAAAAATGTGAATAATTAAATACTTGGTTAATGAATACATAATATATCAAAGCAATATTATACATTTTATTTCTAGTTTTGGCATCAGTTTATATAGTATTTATAATATGCATCGGCTCAGTTTTCGTGAGCTGCATCATCTTCATGCAGTAAGCTTGGCAAGAGCTAGTGTCGGGGTCCACTGTAATTGTCTCTCCCTCCATAGAAACCCCCAAAATGGCCCAAATATTGTGCAGCATGATACTCGATTCACCAAACAACATGTGAAACGAGTTAGTATCATACTGCCAGCGCTCGGCAAATACATAAATAAGTGAATTGTCCACATGTGTATGCATGAAGTCCACCAGATGTGACAGGTCAGTCCGACCTATCAAATCGCATTCAGCAGGAGGCATAGCACGGAAACAACTCCTCAACTTGTCATCTGCTCTCTGTCTATTCTAGATTCAGTATGCCTCTAAACTCTCCAGTCCACATATGGGAGGCTACGTGCCCTAGAAAGCTAGAGATAACACTCCCATCAAAGAGGCCACCTGGCGCAGAGCCTGAAATGATCCGGGCTTCCGCAAGTATACAACAAGATTGTTTGCTAGTACCTGACATTAGAATAGAATATATATATATATATATATGTGTGTGTGTGTGTGTGTGTGACATATTGTGATTGACTGTATCAATGATATGATATTATTAAATAAAAATATTTAATGGTAAACAACAACAAGTCAATAAATTATTTACTTGAAGATCCAGTGCTCGCAAAACAGCTCCCAACACGTGAAGGAACAGGTTGTGCAGGAGCCTGTCGTGGGGGAGGAATGTCCCGGTAATCTCCAGACTCAAAGTCCCCAAAATTCTTTTAGAATTGCAGCCTCTCGGAATTAGACTCATAATAATCATCCCGTTGCTCGAAGCGGGACTGCTGACCGGTCTGTAACGGAGTGAGGTATCTCGAACCGCCATCCTGAAAATCCCCAAAGTGCTGCTCGTGAAAAGATTGGTTAGTGTGACCAGTCTGTCTCAGGCGAATCTGATGTTTCATCTCAGCGTCTTTTGTCCGGCGAGTGGAAACATCCACATACCGTCTTCTAGTGTGTCGGGGTCCAGAATAAAAAAAAAACTCCATCATTTGTATCGGTGGTCAATCGCGCATGTCTACCACTAGTCTAAATCAATAATTTAAACTAATAATTACTAAACAACCTTTTTAAATTCATATATTTTATTAATTATTATAAAATATTACAATTAACTATTTATTACTAATATTTACGCAAACTAATCATAATTACTATTATTAGTTATTACTATTTCCTAAAATATATTATTAAACGTTACACGTAATTATTTTCCTAAAAAATATTAATAAAATCAATATAATAATTATTCGTAACCACATAATTAATATAATTCCACTTTTTGATTATATAATTATACAAACTAACTAATTAATAAAATTATACAATTTTTTGAACTTATATTAGAATACTAATTATAATTTTGAAACTAATAATTACTCAACAATTATTTTATTACATATATTACAATTAACTCGTTTCCTGAAAATACTAAAATTAGATGCATTATCCTATTAATAATTAGTATTATTACCATAATTTCAATATAATTATATTTAACTATTACGAATAATATATTATTATAAGTAACATATTCTTGACAACTATTAAACTAAAATTTATCTAAATTAACTTAAATCAAAGACTAATTCAATTCTATTTTCAAAAATTTAAACATATACAAATAATTTCAATTAAAAAAATAAAAAAAAAAGAAAAGAAATCAAAATCGCCAGCATGCAATGTCGGCCGCCTAGGGTGTGGCCGGACCTGAGCCGTGACGGCTGAATTCTTTAAAAAAAATAAAAAAAATATTTTCTAATCGAAAAAAAAAAATACCAAAGGAATCATGAGACATTTGTCGCGGTCGTGGTGACGATTTGCCATGTTTTCAGAATTGTTTTGGTGAGAATCCGGCCGGAGGAGGTTTGGAGAGAGTTCAAATTTTTGAAAGAAAGAAAATTATGAGAGAGACAAAACGTTCCAAATGAGGGCGATACTTAATAATAGGAGGGCGGTGAATATCAATTCACTATATTTAACCCTCCAAACTGTTTGCTGTGCTCGAAACCAATGCAAATTCCCAATCTTCTACATCTCCTTTTTCTTTTTTCGTGTTTCAAAGTATAAGGGCAAGTTGAACTAAACATCACCAAAAATAAAAATAACACCTCGTGGTAGAGACAAACTTACACTTTCTATAAATAAATAGACATACAATTAAAGCCAAGAAGGCGTTGGCTTTTTTGTACATCAGTTACACTAGAGCTATACCCCTCATATAATCAACTCAGAGGCTCAAAATTGGGCAAAATGGGGACAAAGATTCTAAAACTAAAAATAGTAGTTGTTGTCTTTCTGGTTTACAGTGTCTTTACACAGCATTGATCGAACCTCCATTATGCTTCGTGGAGGTTCGAGGTCTTTCTCTTGCACGCCATTCCCGAGCACGTGCTGCATTTGAGAAGCGAATGTGTCGTCTAACACCTGAAAAGAAAAAAAGAAATTGCAGAAACATTAGTGATTGACCAATAACAATGTGAGGATTATTACACACACACACACACACAAA